TTAATCAAAAAAGAATACCTGGTAGAAGCAAGAATGGATGAAATCCAAGAGATCCACACATTGCTGAAACCATAACCTTTGAGAACTTTTAACAAGAAATCCCATGAGACAGAATCGTAGGCTTTCTTAATGTCCACCTTCACAGCCATTGAAGCATGCTTAGGACCTTTGAAATCCCTCACCATTTCATGGGCTAAGATCAAAGCATCTTGGATTCTACGACCTTTAACAAAGGTACTCTGTTCAGGTCCTACCAATGAACTTAAAACCATGGACAATCTGTTTGCCATAATTTTAGTAGTAATTTTATAAATCAGGTTACACAAGGCTATAGGACGATATTCTCCCAATTTCTTGGCATTTCCCACCTTTGGAATAAGAGTAAGAAAACAGCTGCTAACTCCAATAGGCATACCACTAGTTGAGAAAAAATGTTGAACTGCAGCACTGACATCCTTGCCCACAACTGACCAATATGTTTGATAAAATCTAGCTGGAAATCCATCAGGGCCAGAAGACTTGTCTGGGTTGAACCCCATAACAACCTCTTTGATTTCTTCTTCACTAACCAACCTATCCAAGTCCTCAACCTCTTCAATCTTCAGCTTCTTTGCCGGAACAAACAATTTCTTGCAAACTCTTGGGTCTCTTGGATAAAAGATTCTGATAAAAATCCACAAACCAAGTTTTAATCTCCCCCAAATCCATAGTGGACTGACCACTATCATTCTCTATAGATGTAATGGCATTAAAATTTCTGTGCTGCTTCATTTTATTATAAAAATAGGCAGTACATCTATCAGTGTCTTTAAGCCAAAGAACTCTAGATTTTTGAGCAACGAAACTTCCTGATCCACCATAGCAGCTTGGTAATTATGCCTAGCTTCTTGTTCAACTTGGAAATTATTGTCAGATGGATCCCTCAACAACTCCAATTGCACTTGATCAAGATGTTGTTTAGATTGAATAAGCTTTTCCCCAATATCTCCATAGCAATTCTTATTCCAGTCCTTGATATCCTTCTTGACAAGCCTCAATTTTTTCAACAAAACATGCATAGGATTACCTGCTAATTCAGTCTCCCAAGCCTTCTGGACTATAGATTGAACATCTCCTTGCAAGCACCACACCTTCAACATCTTAAATGGCTTGGGACCTGCAGCAAAACTCTTTGAAATATGAATAGACATACCATAATGATCAGAACAGGCCACTGCTGCAAATAAGACTTTGGTACCAGGTAAGTTATCCATCCATTTTTCATTTAAGAAGACCCTATCCAACTTCACATAAATTCTTCTAGTAGCAATTTGTCTATTACGCCAAGACCATTTTCCATTGGTAGGATGTACCTCACTAAGACCAGCCTTGTGTAAACAGTCGTTGAAATCATTAAGAAGTCTCTGTGGAACTTTCTTCCCACCCTTCTTATCACTAAAAAATCGAATAGCATTCCAATCCCCCAAAGCCATCCAAGGTCCACAAACTAAGGTGGAATAAAGTTCCAAAAATTTCCAAAGAGCGATCCTTTCCTTAGCTAGATTCAAAGCATAAACAGGAGTACAAAAGAAAACCTCTCGAGTCTCTAAAACTGTCACTTTTAGCAGCATACATTGCACTTGCACATCTAACACATGAACATCAAACAAAAGTGGATTCCAGCCCACCCAGATCCTACCATACTCATGAGCATCATAATTGTGAGTCCAATTCCAGTTATATTTCACTCTCCTGGAGATAGAATCAAAAGCACCCTTCTTTACCTTAGTTTCCACAAAACAGACAAATTGAGAAGTTTCTGTAGCTATCCATTTAGCAACCTCCCTCTGTCTTCTAGGCTTATTCGAGCCCCTAACATTCCAAAAACCAATCATTTAGAAGTCGAATGTGGGGTAGGAACCCCTGCATGACTTCTAGTAACCCTATCTGAAGCTGATAATGCTCTATTTCTAGATTTTTTGCTAACAGTTCCCTCACTATTTTTAGGCATCTGAGGGGGAGTATTCCCTCCCAGAAGAGGTTCACCATTCAGCAAAGCAGGTACTGTATTAGAAATTTCAGCAATAGGGATGAACCACAGTCTCTTCGGCAATTTCAACAGATACACCTACTGGTAACACAGTAGTGACCTGCTCCACTACCTCAACAAAACCAGAATCTAATTCTAAAGTAACACCTTGAGTCAGTACCTCCTCAACCTGATCTTCAATCTCAGGGACCGTGTCCACAACCTTAGCATCAACTCCCTGTGTTTCAGCTTCTGAAGTCTCTTCCACCACATTCTCAAGTAATGCAAAGGAATTATGAGTAACAACTTGTGGGCTCTCAACCGGCTTCACAGACATTTCAGCAGACACCTGGTGCACTACCTCAGCCTCCACCATTTTACCTTTCTTCTTCACAATCCATTTATCAACCAACTGTTTTTTTGGCTTATGCAAAACTTTTTGTGACATCTATCAACAGCGTGATCCACCCGTTTACACAGAGAACAAACAACATGCTTCCATTCATACTCAACATGGACTTTACAGTCTTCCCCATGGAAATCAACCACCATATCTTCTGGCAAATCCTTATGCACATCAACCTCTACCATAACACGTACATATTGACCTTTATCTCGATGTAAAGCTGGATCATCCATGGAAATTGGCTTCGAGAATAGAGAACAAACCTTAGAGAGGGAAGTTGAATTACGACAGTGAACCGGAAGGTCATGGACGCGGATCCATATTGGCAAAGTATCAAAATCTTCCCTCTGTAAGATAACATTTTTACTCCACTTTTTGATGATGATCACTCGTCCTTCAAAGGTATGAATACAGGACAAAACCTTTTGAACATCAGCTGAGTGTTGAAATCGTACCATGAAAAAACCATTTTTCAGATAAACCAGTGTAACATCCTTAGACCAATGCTTCTCAATGAAAGCTTTGAAATGGGGATAATAAGGTTGTTTACCCATCACATAACCCACAACTGAATGTTTCCAGTAAAGTATTTCATCTGCGACATCTTCTTCCGTGATAGAAACCTTCGAACCTTCACCCGGAGGAATATATTGCAGATTAATAAAGGAGGTATCATTACTTCCTTCAAAACAACTTCGCCATGAATGGCGAGGGTGTATTGGTAAAGAAACTTGCCGTTCAATAGAAACAGCCGGCGGATGGGAGGAGGTGGAGGCCCCCTCCATCGTGATCCAACCCTACCAACACCAATCGCATGCAAACCCTAAACCTAGATCGTGCAGAAAAGAGAGAAAAAGGGTAGTTTCGGCCACCAATGTCTATTATTTCATTATTCTTTTACCACCGAAAAAAAAAAAATTAAATGAATAAAATATATATATAAAATGATAATTAAAAAAGGGAATCAAAGTGGAAAGGCTTAGTCCCAAAAGGATGATCTTCTGTTAGTATAAGCATGACAGGTAGCATCCACATGGAATGGCCACAGCAGGGAAAATGGTTTTAACCACCGCAGCACATATCAAGGCCACAGAGGTTGCCATATCTATGACATATGGAAGAACTGTTGAACCAGGCAAATACAGCTAATGAAGGAGACTAAGGGAAAGACTTTGGCTGTGGGAAAGGAATAGGATTGCCATAGTATACTGGTGAATCCATTAATCCATCCAAGTCTGGTTCACTTCTTCTAGTCTGAGGTATTACTGAGAGGCTCTATTTGTCATGAATCTGGTGCACTGATGCATCAAAGAAAGATATGCCATGCTTTAGTTCTGCAGTCACGAGGGCCATCTGATTGACCATAGTAGTTGTGGTGGGATATCATGCTTTTGATATAGCCCAAGATCGCGAGATACCCATCGTTAGCATGGGCTAGAGAGCATCCTGTACTAAAGAAGCCTCTGTCTTAACTAACAAGAAGCCTGTGAAATAGGTCAAAAGACCCTGAGGTTCCCTTTTACCATACCCTCTCAGAAATATGATATTAAATGGTTTTCTTCCTTACTGTCCTCTCATCTACCAATCTTTCTCCTAATGGTTGTTTATCTTTATCTTGATTTCAGTCTTGCTTTATAAGGTATTTTTTCATTAAAAAAGAGATAAACATCTGATTTCACTCACACCAGATACCAAGTAAAGGGCAGAAACGACTTCTCCTCGGCTCATAGATTATGGTGGACAGTTCATCCCTTGTAACCTGTTGATTATGCCCTCTTAGTTTCACAATCAAGGTGGTAGCAATTTGATGAGGCATTGCTTCATATGCTCTTAACCCCAAGTACGATATGATTGTGGATCAATTTGTGGTATTGAGCATCTTAGTATCGCCATGGCACAGTCGGGATGTATTCCAAGGTACAACATGGCTTAATTCACTTCAAGATATTCATATGCCATGTCACAGGTCAAGGTGTTATCGGGTTGTGGGAGTAGCTTTATGACATGGGCCATGGCATTTTTGTGGTCCTAGTTTTGTTCTGGCATAATATTAAATGAGAATCTGGGTTGTTGAGATATGGTGGCTTAGTTTAGGGGTAAGTTGAGGTAGGTTTGGACCACTGGTTGTGTTCAGCGACCCTAATGGTTGGGGATCGATACATGCCACAGTCTTCACGCCTTAACCAGGGTACCACAAGAAGGACACGTGGTATGCTCAGTGCATCCATCCAATATTCAGGCTCACTGGCATGTGGGAGATCTCCTAGTACGAGGATTCAAGTTGGCAAACATTAACAGTATTGCCCTGTCCTTTTTTGATGTTCTGTGCTGTTTTCTCCTTCTCTTTCTGTGTTTCATGTAAAACATGCTTTCAAGAGAAATAACTAATAATTAATATTCTTATTATTCAATTAGCAGTAGTTTGGTCTACCGTTATCCTTCATGGTTAAAATTGTCTATTTTGCCTTTTGTCTTCTTTTTTTTTTTTTTTTTTTTTCTTCGTATAATCTCCTCATAGTATTCTCTCTCTCCCCTTTTATTTTATTTTATTTTATTATTTTTTTTTTTGTGCGCGCCTTCGTGCAGGTTGCATTCAAAACAGGGGATTATAAACAGCAAGTCATTTTTATTGGGGGATTGACAGATGGATTTTTGGCTACTGAGTATGTTTAGTATATTGGTTTTAAATCAATAATTCATTGTGTGCTCTGCATGTGTACTTGGATTGCACCCCTTTGACACCTTTTAGTGCAATTTTTATTATCTAATTAAAAAAGTTGATCAGATCTTAACCACACATTATTTTCTATTTACTTTCATTACAGTCAATGAATTTTCCGTCCAAGTTCTTTTCTGAGTTCAGTCTCCAAGAAAAAGGAAATTGAATGAGTGCCTGTCATTTATTTTTTCAAAGGTTAAGAGGAAATAAGTTCACGTATATTTATCAACTAGGGATCCTTAATCGACTTTGACTTGTTTGCAATGATATATATATATATATATATATATATATATATTTATTTATTTATTTATTTCTAATGGAAAGTAATGTGAGAGTAGCTTTTTAGTCCAATACACTTGAAGAATTGAAAATCAGCAGGCAAGTGAGACATTTTGGACATAAGCTTGGTGAGTCGGTGACAACATGAAATTCTCAGGGCTAACCCCTTTGAAGGGGAAAGTTGAAACAAAATCCGGCAAGTTTTGAAATAATATAGGTTGTGATTGAAGGTGATGCTATTCCGGTTGAAATGTTGATCTGCCATCACATTGTAATGTAAAATTGTGTTTTAGTTTCTCAGTCTAACTAAAGAATTTTTGGGCTATTAAATATTGTCGCCTGGCTTTTAGGCTTTTATATGATTTAGGGTTTGAGTTTTTCACTTTAAAAAGTTTACAATTTTGGATATTATTTTCAAGCACTCATTTACGGTCAAATTTGTGCACACTAGCAAAGATGTATAAAAAGAGATGGTTGAATCAAAATAATTTCGTTTAATGTTCTATATCTGTCAGAGGGCAATATGAATTTTCTATCATGTTCTATCAACATACTAAAAGGTTGAAGGATTTGTAGGTCCATTGATCAGGGCTTGACAGGGTAACTTAAGTACCCAAAAATTTACAGAACTGGACTTCAATGATTAGTTAGCTGTTAAGCATGATTTCGTTGTTCTTTATTTGAAAATTGATTCATCTATAATTTTTTCAGTTTCAAAGTAGATTTTATCCTAATATGCAGATATTTGGAGCCTCTTGCAATTGCTTTGGAGAAAGAGAAATGGTCACTAGTCCAATTTCTGCTTTCATCTTCTTATAGTGGCTATGGTATCTCGAGCTTGAAAGAGGTAACATATCATCTTCCTGTCCAATTCTGTTAATTTATGGCATGCCAAACCTGTCATCGATTGGTCCTTTGAGTTGGTTATTTTTAGGAAGTACTTTTTTTTTTTTGATAAGTATTTTTAGGAAGTACTTCAGCATTAAAGTATATTCATCCAATGCAATGCAGTTAGTTTACTCCGCTTAAATCTTAATTAGAGTTCTACTCTTCTTCTGTTGAAATACTGTTACTATATGTTCTTGCAACAATCCAAGTTAATAAAGGGCTAGCCTAGTTCACGAGGTTCCCGCCATTGCGAAATCTGGGAATGGTCTGATGGACGCAGACTTACCTTGATATAGAGGGACCGTTTCCTGTTTCAAACTGGTTTTAAAACTTGCAGGTGAATAAATTCTTTTTTCGAAATGTTCTTTTGGTGTATTTCTTGCATTGCAGCATGTGCATGTTTTAGGCAAGAGATATTGGAACAAGTGGAAATTCGTCATTTTCATTTTCATTTTCAATTATTTTTTTTTTTGTCTTATTCAATAAATGTAAAACAAATTAGAAACTTCTAAAGGCTCAACACCTCATAAAAAGTTCACCTTTCTCACTCGAGCTTTCTTGACCAATTATCCAATTTTGTGGGTTGGTGGCTACAACCAGTTGCTAAGACAATTCCAATTTCGTGGGTTGTCTTTGAGCAGTTACAGTTGTTAACCTAAATCCATCAGTGAGTCATTACCTCTTCTCTTTCTGCATTTATAGATGCTTTTTATCATTTAATTTAGCCAACATAATTACTATTGTAACTGTTGGGATCATTTGCCCTTCAAGCCAATATTTTGATTGTATTTGACATTTATTATTAATGAATTTTGTTCTATTTAAATGGCTTACATACATATGGTGAAAGCTTGTATTGATTAATTTATGAGATGAATTCAGTTGTCGTTCGTCTATGTAATATGATTTGTGTGCATAGAGAGTCTCATGCATAGAAGATATAAATCATTGGATTACATTATCATAAATTAGTTCACATCCAGTGATATAACTTGGACATTCTATCTGAAAGAATACAAACATGTAGGTTTATATGAGATAGGATGACTTATCTCAGTCATTTGAGTGAAAGACTCAAAACCATGCGTGTTGATGTGTTGGACACATTGAACTGGACTGCGGATAAGTGGGAATAGTACGATAGTTGTCATAGTAATTTTTCAATTTTTAGTGTTACATCAAGTGGCTCTTAAACCTGAGAGAGTAATGGACTCTTCTCTTTGTTAGTGGTTGCTTTGATTTTTTTTAGTGGGCCCTTGGGTTTAAAACCTGGGTATTTTAGGTAATCATCAATTATTGGCACTGGAAAATGTATTATCAAGATGGTATCTATGCTAGAATATTTATTTTGGCTTGATTAGTTTGATCACTGAAATCAGTGGTTTTAATGAAATTAATTTATTATATATTTATTTATTAAATATATTATATATATTATTTTCACAAAATTAATTTTTATGTGATCAATCAAATTAATCAAGAAGACAAAAGGGTAAATTAGTAATTGGATTGATGATATTATTTTATCCAATCACTTATTATGCATGGACGGGCTATTTCATAATTTAACATGGTGTGGCTTTACTACTCATTACTTGGAGTGCAATTATTTTAATTTAGTGAAATTGAAAATAATTAATGGGCTAATTATTGGGTCAAGAGTTGACTAGACATTTAATATGCCCATTGGAGCCAAGTGTTGGATAGGCCCAACTAGATCCCACTCCCTAGTCTAACTTGGACAGCAAGCAAGGAAGTTGGAGGGTAACTAAGAGAGCTAGAGAGAGGGGCTGCCAACCCTAGGAAGGGTGGCCCAGCCCTCTCTATAAATAGGTGGTCTAGTTCTCTTATAGTGTACACTCTCATACTCACTACCCAAGACATATTCTCTCTCTAGGGTTTCTATACTTCATCGGAGGCCACTCTTCCAAAGCCTGTAGGTTCCATACAAGGTCTTAGGCCTGAAGATTTGGGGGTATTTGAAGCCATTAATTTGCAGCCTAAAGCTTAGAGAAAGCTTGAAAAATTGAAGGGTTCTCATAGTAGATGATCTACCAATTGTCCAAAGGTTGCCTATTCTTCTTCTTTTTCTTCTTCTTCACTTATAATTGATTCACAAAAACAAATGGGATTGAATTTTGCTTCCGCTGAATAGACCTGTTTTCCAACAGTAACAAATATTCAGTTCTCATCGGTATGTCTCAAGGCACATAAATGAGCAATTATTTCTTGGACATTGATATCTGGTTCCATTTGGATCGAATTAGAGGTCTTGATCCCAAAATAAACAGATGGCAACCTTGGGCATATTGTCGAATAATGTCATAAGAGATGGTTAACAGTGCTTTCCATTTAATGACTTTGGGGTATGCATGACTGAATTTTGAGCCTACATTATTATGGAGCTTTCTGAAGCGTGTTATATTTTGGGCATGCTTTATCTTTGCTACAACTTCAGACAATGTAATATTGATTTCTTCCATGTTTATATGATCATCTATGGACTTTGCTATATAATTCTTAGTATTTGCTGGATTATATCGATCAACAGTATTTTAGGAAACCTATGAAGGTTTTACTTCCTATATCAGAAGGATCTTGTGTATCTGGCAAGTTAAAGGGAGCACCCTCTTGCCTCCATTCTAATTATTCATATGTGGCCTTTGTTTGGCACTGGAGTGCCTCTAAGAACACTTTTCCTGGTGTTAGTGAAATTTTCTTTTGATGTTCATGAAAGGACATTTTTTCAGTTCATTTTTTGGGACTTGGGACCATTTGATTTTCTAAGGTGTTCAAACCTATAGGCATTTAAAGGTTTTAGTGAGAATATCAACCAAATTTTGATCTGTATGCACTTTCTCAAATGACGTCACATTTGTTTAACTAATTCTTGAATAAAATGATGTCAAATGTCTATGTTTTGTTTTAGAATGCAAAACTGGATTCTTAGTAATATCACTTAAGAAACTTGCTCAATTCCATAATCCAGGAGCATCTGCTTCATCCAAAACATTTTTGTGCTGCAAGATGACAAGGAAACACAATTATGTTTTTTATTTTTATATATTTGGTACCATGAAACAAGGTTAGTAACAATGGAAAAACAAGCAACTGAAGTACTCTTCCTATCATTCCTATTATGTGAAACCTCCAATCTCAGAGTTAAACTCATTAGATTAACGCAATCCATCATTCAGAGTACCATTGATATAACGAATAATGTGTTTAACTGTAATCAAATGTTGTTCTCTTGGATTCGCTTGATACCGAGCACATAACCCTATACTAAACATCGCTTGCCACTGAGTAATGCAGAAGAAGATGATCAATCGTCCAGTCATCCCTCTTGCACATACTACACCTTCGCCAAAAAAAATGGCGTCTCTTTCTCATGTTGTCAATAGTCAAGATCCTCCTAAGAGCAGTCATCCATCCAAAAAAGCCACCTTAAAAAGGGCTTTGGTACGCCATATTGCCTTCCTTGGAAAGGGAGGACTCGTATCATCGAGAATCTGACGATAGAAAGAGTGCACCTTAAACCTCCCAAGGTTGGAACTGACCCAGTACAACTCATCATCACCCTCCTCGACCACCTTCTTATCATACAACAAAGCTAAGAAACCAGTGATGTCCTCCAATTCCCAATCCTGAAACTGCATCTCAAATTGCACATCCCTAGTCACACTACCGCTATCAAGCTGATTACAGTCAGCAACCAAGATCTATTTTTTCATCGCAATCCTGAAAAGCCTCATAAAGGCACTAGTGAGCGTCTTTACACCAAATATTAAGCCAAAAATGAATGTGCTGCCACACTTCATCCTGAGCCAAATATGCTTGGAGAGTTTGTTCTATCCCTTCCAAATGAATCTCCGAACCCCCACGCTGACTGGGCCACTAACCTCCAGAGATGTCCAACCACCCCAATCCTCATCATATTTGCGCCGAATGACTCCTCTGTAATGTTAGTGTCTACCCAAAACCACAAAAGCAATTCGCCTAGCTGAGCTTTATTAAATATGTTGAACCTCCTGACCCCCAACCCCTCTAAGCGCTAGGACTACAAAAACCTTCTCTCAACTCACCAGGTCATACATAAACTCCTCACCCAATTTCTCTACAGAGGCTCAATCCTCCTCACAACAGGAATCAGAATCTAGAAAAGTGAGAGGAAATACGTAGGAAGACTCGAAAGGGTATTCCTTATAAGGGTTATGCACCCCATTTTGATATGTAGTGCTTCTTCTAACCTGCCAACCTGCTCTCGAATCGCTCAACAACTGGGTTCCAAGTATACACTTGCCTCAATGACGCCCCCAACAACTTGCTCAGATAAGTTTCCAGGAAGGACCTAATTCCACACCCCAAAATACTAGCCTGGGCATCAATCCCTCCAACCTCTCCCACTGGAAAAATCTCGCTCTTTCGAAGATTTATGCTCAGATTGGACACAGCCTGGATGCACACCAGTTTACATCTCAGATAATGTAACTGCTACTTGGCCGCCTTAGAAAAAACGATAGTATTGTTGGCGAATAGAGATGCGACATTCCCAACTGGTCATGGGGGTCCTACCTATCATGAAGCCCCTATGTACCCAAACTCCACTGCCTTCCTCATCAATCAGTTGAACACTTTCATCACAATGATAAACAGGAAAGGGGACAAGGGATTCCCTTGCCAAAGGCCCAAAACCCAGATGAAACTCCATTCACCAACACTAAAAATGGAACTGTGGATATGCAAAACCAGATCGACCTCCTCCATTTGTCCCCAAAACCCAACCTGTCCAACATGTACATCAAGAACCTCTAGCTCAATGTTTGATTAATCCATTTGTCGGTTCGACTTATTGGTCAGTTAAATATTCAAGAGGTCAATTTTCTTTTTTACCCTTTTGATCTATCTGAAGTAAATTTAACCCTTACTAACTAGACCAACTTTTGAAAAAGAAGTAAAAAGACAAAATTATAGCTTCGCATTCTGTTAGGAAATTTATCCATGCCAAATCCTAATGACCTAACAGTGTCTATTCGGCTGAGTGGGTATGGACTCCCGACAAGTTTGATGTGATTCTAATTCCTCAATGTATTGGCGGACTTGGTCAAGTCCTGTACGACGAGGGCGATATGCAGAGACTCAGCCTGACTCTCAAGACCATGATTTTTGGTGCAACGGTTGACACACTTGATATAATTTTTTTCTCATAGCTAAAGAGAAATCAGTACTATCAACTCTCCAAACTTTAGCAGCTTGAGAGAGAGAATTGCTGCGGCCACCACCTCGCCGGTCACCACCTCATTGTTGCCAATCCTGCCATTCACCTCTTCAAACTGTAGTGTATCATCTCAGATTCTTGATCACTTTTCAAAACGACCACACCTCACCTCTCGTTGTTGGCCACTATCCACTCACCACGTAGCTAGTCACCACCTCATTGCTTCAAAGTTTGCCATTCACCTCTGTCTCGGTCGGAGCAACTTTATAGTACCCAAAACCCTGAAACCTTGGTGCCTTCTCTTTTTTGTGCTTTTAATTTTTATAATTTGGTGATGACATTATGCGGAATTTAATCCGTGTATTGTGAGGTTTTGGTTTTTGATGTTAGTTTAATTTGGTTATTTAACTTTTAAGGTCTGAACAAATACTTTAAATAGTTTTGTTGACTGTAATGTTGAATTTGTCAATGTAAGGTTGGAAGGAACTAATGTTTGTGATCATATCATTTTGGCAGTGTATTGAGGTTTTTTTTTTGGTGTTTGGGATCTTAAATCTACAATGTGATGTTTCTGAGTTTTACTCAATGAGAGTTATTCTTAACTCATCTAATGATAAGATATCTTTTTTTCTCAAAGACTCAACCTGACAGTCCAGGCTGCTCGGGTTGAATTCGGGTTAGGCACATTGAGTTAGAGCTCGCTTGGGCTTGGGCTTGGGATTGGGCTGAAGCTCTTAAACCTTGGGTTGACTCTTCAACCCCTCTAACGTGCCCGAGTTGCAGCCCTATGGTACAATTATATGTGATAATTGGTATTATATTTTTGCCATTATATGTGATAACTGGCGACATATCATTGGCATTATATTAGTACTCATGAGATGATCTTATTTTTTTGCTCTTGCATTTTTTCTGTTAAATTTTATATTACAGGATGCCATGGAGCTTGATCAATTGATTAGTTACTTAATAAACAAGGAAGAGTCTGAGGGTGTGGTACTGCTTGGGCATAGTACTGGCTGTCAGGTGAGTGCTTTTTTCTTTTGAAATTGCGAGCGACCCAATTTAAATGTAACACTGATGACCACACTTTATGAGGATATAAGATTGACTAACTCTGGTTGTTAATCCATTTAGGATATTGTTCATTACATGCGTACAAATGCTGCATGCTCTAGAGCAGTTCGTGCAGCTATTTTTCAGGTATTCCCCTATTGAAATTCAGTTTTTCATTGTGCTCCTATTTTTTAAAAATTCTGTTGCTTCCTCACATTATATGTACTTTTACATTGTTGAAGAGTTGTTGCATTGTCGTGTGTATATGTGGGTGGGTGTATGTGTTCTCTTTTTTCTTTTTCTAATCATTATTTGCTAATCTCATTTGACATTATTTTTATAACAAAAAATTACACCCTTAACAAATTGGTTTTCGGATTGTATATCCAATTAATAACAAGTTGGATGTAGATTCATTCATAAATAAACGTGTCAGGTTATCTGATCGGTTATAAGATTCAGATTAGATCGAACCTGATCCGATCCATGTACAGGCTTCAAGTTTTTATTTTTTGGATAATTTTACAGGCTTGAAGTTTGTACAAGAAACAATCTATTTAGGGGCTTTGTCAGTTTTCACAGGAAGAAGTATAAGTAGCAGTGAGACAGTGTTCTATAATTATGATATATAGAATGGCAAAAAAAAAAAAAAAAAAAAAAAAAAAAAAAACAATCCCATGGATTTATTCGTGCAAAGCTGACAAGTTGAGAGTCTATTATCTCAAACTCTGAGAATTTAAAAATTTAGGAAATGATTCAGTTTATCCCTAGAACTGCAAAATACCTTTAGAATAAGCTAGAACATTTTTCTTATAGACCATAAGTGCTCAGTTATTGTGACCCTCTTGGAACCAAATATGGGTCTTAGGAAGCTTGGCTCATTTGAATAACAAGCTTACGAGTTGATTTCCTCATCAAAATGATCTTGAGCTGCTAGTTCGTATCACAGGCCTATCCTGAGTTATTCCTCCTCATTTGCAGAATATAGTTTCCCTTCTACTCATATCAGGAGTTTCTGGTTCTTCTTTGTTTTTTTTTTTTTTTTTTTTTTTTGATAAGTAAAATTGTATAAAAGAAGCATTCAAAAGGGGAACACATCCCTCGGAAGATACACAAGGCCTAATAAGGCCTCTAAACTCCTAGGGAGTCCAAAAAATCAACTATTTCCTCCATAGAATTACAATTTCTCCCTAGAACCCTTATAAAAAGGAGTGCTAATAATGGAGAACTTCAACGCCCCAATAGGATTCTCCTTTCCTTTGTAGGATATCCTATTTCTTTCAAGCTATAAAAACCAGCAGACGCACAAAGGCACAACCCACCCGAAATCACAAAATTGGGACCCCACTATACAACCTCTCCAAGCCTCAACCAAGATTCTGGAGGACCTGGGCATAACCCACCGAACCCCAAACAAACCCAACAACAAAACCCAACAATCCCGAGCCACTAGACAATGCAAAAGAAGGTGGTCAACCGTTTCCTCGTCTCTCTTACACATATAACAACAGTTCACCACCACTTGTCTCCTTCTCCTTAAGTTATCTTGGGTCAAGATCTTTCCCAACACGGATGACCACGCAAAGAAAGCCACTTTGAGAGGGCCTTAGAGTGCCAAATTGCCTTCCACCGGAAAGGATGCCCTTGGACTTTCGAAAGACTCCCTTAGAAAGACCGAACATCAAAGCGACCCTAGGAAGAAGGAATCCACAATAATCTCCTGGCAGTACAGCAATTCCAAAAGACCAATGGCGTCTTCAATCTCCCAATTCTGAAAATGCCTTGTAAAATGCACATTCCAAAATGTTCTCCCACTATGAAGACAATAGCAGTCAAAACACCAAAGCGTGTTTATTCTGGCAATCCTGAAGAGTCTGGGGAAAGTAAAGAGCAAGAGGGCAATTACCACACCAAAAGTCCTCCGAAAAATGGATCCCCTTCCCATCCTTGACTCGAAATCTAATGTGTTTGGAGAATTCATCCCACCCCTTCCGAATGGATTTCCAAACCCCAACACCACTTGGGAATCTTACCTCAATGGAACACCATCCACCTCTCACCTCTCCAAATCTGCTCGCTACCACCCTCCTCCAAAGTCTGTCTCTCCACCCCAAATCTCCATAACCACTTCCCCAAAAGGACATTATTGAAAGGCACCAATCTTCTAATGCCTAAACCTCCCATCCGAATCAGGCTACACACCTGATCCCAACGAACCAGATGATACTTGAATTTCTCCCCCATCCTATCCCAAAGGAAATTCCACTGCAACCTCTCAATCCTCTCGGCCACGGAAGATGGAATCTGAAAAAGAGATAGGAAATAAGTTGGACGGCTTGACAGAGTACTCTTCATCAAAGTGGCCCTTCCACCTTTCGAAAGATACTGTTTCTTCCACCCTGCCAATGACCTCTCGAACCTCTCCACCACAGGATCCCAACTTCCCACTCTCCTAGACGACATCCCAAGAGGCAACCCTAAATATGATAAAGGAAAAGAGCCAATACTGCAACCAAGAGTGTCAGCTAAAGTGGTTCTTTCTTTAACGTTAAGTTCAAAAATATTACTTTTTTGTAGTGTTATGAAGTGTTCTAATGCTGTAGAATTTTTTCATTTTTTCCATCTGATGGCTAGTACATTCTTTATACATTATTAATACGGGCTTGTATTCAATGTTGTGATTGTGAGGGGAAATCTCAAATACATTGTCGGGATGGGAGAGAGGTGAAGGGATCCCCTGCGCGCGCACACACAAACACAAAGATATGTGAATCTGAATGTGTGTAAGAAGTCTAGAAGTGAACTACCTGGTTTGATCTGGTATTCTAGATTTCAAATGAGTTTGTGACTGCATATTGAAATTCTCAACTCATAATGTCTGTTCCTATTACTTGAAGTCGACTACATGAACCTTTTTATGGAATCTCCTTTATATAGGGTTATAAATTCAGTTAAACATTATGCTACAATATCGTTCTACACTAATTTTTTTATTTATATTTTTTATAAGTAATATCATTCAACACTAATTAATGCACATTCATTTTGGTGGTCTTGTTCTTCAACCATTACCCTCAGTGTTTACCTTGTGAGTCATCCTCGTACAATTCATCATCATCCTTGCCTTTATCCCATATGGATGGGGTTGGCCACGTGAATATGTTCTTTCTTTCTTTCCTTCCTTCCTATTATACGTTATGTCTTCTCTTAATTTTAATTTTTGAAATCATTTTTAATTACTTCATCCCACATAAGTTTTGGTTGACCTCTTTGTTGTTTCCCTTCTAGGCAAACTACTCTTCCTCTTTGTTATTAACCCAGCTTAACTTAGCAAGATCTTATCTTTAAATATGGCGACTTGTAGCTGACTACAAATTGATTTGTAGCCATGAAAAACTAAAATTCCTGTAGACCGGTATATTATTGAATCATAAGCTTAACCGCCTACTATGCAAAAACCAATACCTTGTACTATAAGCTGAATTCTTAGTAGCTTGCTACAAATGAAGGTTTAGCCTTCTAAAAATAGGTTTTTGAAAAAAGCATATCTAGGAGTAGTGGTCTAAAACTCTATTGTAGCCAATTTCAAGTTCTTAAGTTTTCAAATTTGGAAAGATCCAATGACCACCTACTTGCTCTTTAAATGGTCCATCGACTATAAGCGACTATATCTTCAAATGGGCTATAAATACCCATTGTCTTGAACATTTACAGGAGATAGAAGAGAGGAAGAAATAGAGAGAGGTGTGAAAGAAATATTCACCTTCAACAAGCTTGAAATTGAGTTCAAGTCTTGAAAGATCTATCATGAGCTTAAATCTGCATATCATTCATCGATAGGAACCACCATTGAGACGGGGATGGTGGTGCTGCGGCTGCCGGTTGTGGTGGTGGGGGTGCTGCGGTTGTTGGATCCATGGTCGTCGGTGACTTGGTTTTCTTTCGTAGGTGTCCAAGGAAAAATGGATGATGAAGTGAAGATGCAAATAAATAAATAAATAAATATAAAAGGACAGAAGTAACCTTCACTTGAAAAGTTTTTCACTGTATCATATGCCTCTTTTTTATGTCGATTTTGAGAATTTGGGAGCGGAGTTGTCTTCTTGGTACCCCTTCAATAACTAAACAACAAAAATGGGGGACTCTTATTGTCTAAAAAAATGGGGACAAGCTTTAACCTCCAATGAAGGTTGGGAAGTTAGCTTTCCTCATACATATATACATGGGACTTTTTTTATCGCTAATGTTTCAAATGATATCTGATAGTTTACATTCATAATCTTTTGTTTCTATAGAAACATTTTAATTAAATTCCTTTCAAATTTTTAATGCCTGGTTATTATGTTACAATATGCGGTTCTGATCATGATTTTAATTGAATTGTTTAGGCACCAGTTAGTGATCGGGAATACCATGCAACTCTTCCTGAAACAGCTGCAATGATTGATTTGGCTTCAAATTTGATGAAGGAAGGGCGGGGATCGGAGTTAATGCCTAGGGAAGCAGATCCAAGTGCCCCAATAACTGCCTATAGGTGAGGATACAATTTTCTCTTGTTTTACCTAGAACTAGCAATCGTTTTTTTATGTTTATGGATGCTTTCAATTTTAACAACTTTCATTGCCACGTTTTTTTGAATATTTTAAAAGCATTCCTTGCCTCATTAAGTTTTGCCTGGTTAACTTATGTTTCCTCAGTTTTCCCTTTTTATTGAACATAAAATATTATTGGATAGACTCACTTTTAAATGCATACAGAACTTCTGCTGGTATGAATTCATTGGCCTTTATTATAGCTCTAAGAATCAAAATAACAAAAGTTTTTTTGAATTAAGATTATCCAAAAAAAAAAAGAAAATCAAAATATATCTTTTATTGTTATGATGGGCATTCTAACTTATACACCTTCTAATATGATTGGTCAAAAAATAGAAAGAAAAAATGTGTGAAAAATTTCAGGCTGCTTCTAGAATTAAGACTTAGAATGTGTTCTATTAAGTTGTAGATTGTCAACGGGTAGCCTGATTTTCTATTATTTGAAATTTATTGTTTTGTCAAAGACATGATTATCACACAAATTAGCATAAGTAAGGTAGTCAAAAGTAGAACTGCACAACCTTGCACATCTTTTTTAAATGGCGCACATGATTTTAGAATGCCTTGTGCATTGACTAATTGCATTGTGCATCAACTCCCTCTCTCTCAAAAGAACAGAAAAAGAAAATTAAAAAGAGAGAACCCATTTTAATGGCTAATTGCATTCTGCTTCTTATAAACTACCTTAAAATTTTATTATATTTATAAAACATATATAGATGAGAACCTAGATAATTATTTATATCACTTAATAAATAATCAATTTACTTTAAAAAACTTTGCAAATAATCAATTTCTCATTAATGTAATATTCCTCTCTGGTGTACTTGTTAAATTAAGTTTCCGGGGCCTGAGTTGGCGAGTTGAGATTATGATTGTTTTCATTTGCTCTCTGACTGAAATACAAAGCACCTTGCAGATATCACTCCCTTTGTGCATATATGGGGGATGATGACATGTTTAGTTCTGACCTTAGCGATGACCAGCTGAGAATGAAACTTGGGCACATGATGAACACACCATGCCAGGTAGGCTTTTGTATATTTCATGTATATTGCTTGTTGAAAACAGATTCTTGTGTGATAACCGCGATTAATGGACATGATAACCCAGATGCCAATTTAAATGGGATAATTAATTTTTTCTTCATTTTCTTTTAAGATAAATGCTTCTATATTTTTTCATTAGTCAATTAAATGAAGGGCAAAATGCCAAAAGCCCCCTGAACTTTCTCGCAGTAGCAAATAACCCCCTTGAATTATCAATTTGTCAAATAATCCCCTATACTTTCCTAAAGCCCTATGAAATACCCCATGCTGTCTTATTTCCATTTGAAAATGGAAGGAAAATAAATTAAATAATCATGTTTGTAAAAATGAAGATATGTATATTGTAGAAATACACAGAGAGAGAGAGAGAGAGACCGTAAGAGAGAGCCTCTGAAGTAACTTCTCATATTTTCATTATATAAACCCTAAAACATAAGGAGAGTTTATATACAATACAATACAATAAAGGTCTAATTACATAACAGCCACAAACCCTATATCTAATTACCATAAGACCCCAACCTAAATGCATATATACATATAAGTGTTTCAACACTCCCCCTCAAGCTGGAGAATATATATCATATAATCCCAGCTTGGAACAAATTATTTTTAACCGATTATGACCAAGAGCCTTAGTAAACATATCAGCTAGTTGGTCTTCAGACTTCACGAATGGAGTAGAAATATTTCCACTCAATATTTTCTCTCGAGTGAAGTGACAATCAACTTCAATGTGCTTGGTTCTTTCATGAAAAACCGGATTGGATGCGATGTGAATAGCTGCTTGGTTATCACATAGCAGTGGAATAGGAGTCTTGACTATTAACCCAAGTTCTTCAAGAAAGTGTTGAATCCACGTTAACTTACTAGAGGTATGGGCCATCGCCCTATATTCTGCTTCAGCGCTAGACCGTGCTGCAACTGTTTGCTTCTTACTTTTCCATGTAACAAGGTTTCCACCAACAAGTGTACAATAGTCTGTAGTAGATTTCCTATCTGAGGGAGAATCAGCCCAGTCAGCATCTGTGAAACCTGTCACATTAAGATGACCATTAGGTTTATATAGTAATCCAAAACCTGGAGCTTGTTTGAGATATCGAATAATTCGAAGAACAGCATTCCAATGTGGTACTCTAGGAACACTCATGAACTGACTTACAACACTAACTGCATATGAAATGTCAGGTCGGGTGATAGTGAGATAAATTAATTTCCCAACTAGACGTCGATATCTACCATGATCGTCAAATAAATCACCATCATCAGGTAATAATTTTATATTTGGGTCCATAGGAGCATCAGCAGGGCAAGTACCTAACATACCTGTTTCTTTTAACAAGTCCAACACATATTTTGTTTGAGATAGACTTATACCTTCCTTGGATTTAGCAACCTCAATACCCAAGAAATATTTGAGTTTGCTTAGATCCTTTGTGTGAAACCGATTCTGCAAGAACAATTTTAACTTTGCAATGTCGTCAGAATTATCACCTGTTATAACAATATCATCTACATATACCACAAGAAATATAAAGCCAGTTTTAGTATGTTGGTGAAATACCGAATGATCTGTCTCACATCTGTTAAGGCCAAAGGAAAGTACCGCCTCGGAGAATTTTCCAAACCAAGCCCTTGGAGATTGTTTCAATCCGTACAGGACCTTTTTAAGTCGACATACAGCATAACGAGACTCCCCCTGAGCAACAAATCCAGGTGGTTGCTCCATGTAAACCTCTTCATGTAAGTCACCATGTAAGAAAGCATTTTTCACATCTAATTGAAACAATGGCCAATTACGATTGGCGGCAATAGAAATAAGGATTCGGATAGAAGAAATTTTCGCAACAGGAGAAAAGGTCTCATCATAATCAATACCATAGGTTTGTGTGTATCCCTTTGCAACAAGACGAGCCTTCAATCGCTCAACAGATCCATCATGGAGATATTTGATAGTGTAGACCCACTTACAACCAACCGGTTTGGAACCGAGGGGTAAGGAAACAAGATCCCATGTCCCATTATGATGAAGAGCATCCATTTCATCTATCATGGCTTTGCGCCAAGCTGTATCAAATAGAGCATCCTGCACAGTTTTTGGAACAGCAGTAGCTAGATAACGTGGATAAAAAACAAGAAAATGAGGGCGATACCTTTTTATAGGAAACAAAGTTGGATATGGGGTGTGCAGTGACACAGGAGCGAACACCCTTACGTAATGCAATAGGAAGATCATCAGTAGCAGGAGGAGCCTCAATAGAAGTAGACAATTGGGGGGGGGGGGCTACTCGTGATCGACGGCTATACACTTGAAGAGGCGGTGGCACATGAGGTGATTGTGGTGGGTCACAGGGTAACGAATTTGACACAACAGGTAACGGAAGCAGCAGCTCGGTATCTAAAGACAAACTATGTGAAGAAAAATAAGGAGTATCCTCAAAAAATGTAACGTCCATGCACACAAAAGCCTTATGAGTGCTAGGATCCCAGCATTTATAACCTTTTTGAGTCCGAGAGTATCCAATAAAGACACATTTAATGGCACGAGGAGACAATTTATCAGCGCCAGGACGTAATATGTGAGCAAAACACACACACCCAACAACATGAGGCGGCAATGCAAATAATGGTCGAGTAGGAAAAACAAAGGAGTAAGGACATTTCCAATTAAGAACGGAAGATGGCATACAATTAATTAAATAACGAGCAGTTAAAACAACATCACCCCAAAATGCTTTTGGAAGATGCATATGTATCATTAATGTACGAGCTATTTCAATTAAATGCCTATTTTTCCGTTCAGCTACGCCATTTTGTTGAGGAGTATAAGAACAAGAAGTTTGGTGCAAAATACCACGGGAGTCACAAAAATTAGAAATAGCACCTTTGACATACTCCATAGCATTATCAGATTGTAAAGTGCGTATAACACACCCAAATTGGACCTTAATTTCTTTTAAAAATATTTGAAATATGGAAAACAGTTCAGAACGGTCTTTCATTAAAAACAACCAAGTCATCCTTGAATAATCATCAACAAAGGTAACAAAATAAGAAAAACCTGAGTGACTAGTGTGACGAGCGGGACCCCAAATGTCCGTATGTACTAATTCAAATAAAGAAGACCGATGATTAACAATACGAGGAGGGAACGGCACTCTATGGTGCTTACCCAACTGACAAGACTCACAATTTAAAATAGGTACCGACTCAAGGAAAGGCAAAGCAGACTTCAAATACCGCAACGAGGGATGACCTAACCGGTAATGCCACTGGTACAAAGACATCTGGGAATGTAAAGCAACAGTGGAAGGTTTGCAATCCAAATACTATAGGCCATTTCTGTTACTGCCCCCACCAATCGTCTGTTTCGTGTTGAGGTCCTGAAAGACACAAGACGAAGGATAAAATGTGACAAAACACTTCAGAGCTTGAGTCAATTTACTTACAGATAATAAATTAAAAGGAAAATTTGGAACTAATTGCACAGAGGATAAAGAAATGGATGGGGTTAATTTAATTGTTCCCTGGCCAATAATGGAACATGTTCTACCATCAGCCAGAGTAACAAAAGATGAGGAACTAGACTTCTGAAAGTTAGAAAATAGAGAGGCATCACCTGTGAGATGGGTAGAAGCCCCAGAGTCAATGACCCAAGGGGATGCTGAAGTCTGTAAATCGGACAAGCATGCAATATTACCTGATTGAGCAAAATTAACTACATCAGTAGAGTTGGGATGTGTCCGGTTGACCAAAGCACTGAACTCAGCTCGTGATAGTGATAGTGTCACAGTGTCACTAGTAGCTGCAGGTGATGGTAATACAGAAGTCTGACCAAGAGAGGGATGAGACCCCGCAAGGTCAGAGGAAGATACTACTTGATTTGCCCATGTTGGTTTCCCATGAAGAGTCCAACAGTTCTCAACAGAATGGTTAGTACCTTTACAGTGGCTGCACATACGAGTGTCACTACGTCCACGACCACGGCGATTGCGACTTCTATCGCGGCCACTACCGCCACGAGAACTACCTGAATTTCCACCATACCCTCTGTTGCCACTAGGAATATCTCCTGAATTTCCACCATACCCTCTGTTGCCAGTAGAACTATCACGACCTCTAGAGGACTGTGGAAAAATAGAAGGAATCATCATAGCTGAATTTTCTTTCACTCCAGTGGGTGTCACATGTGATTGTTCTGAAACCCTAAGTAGGCGGGAGTAAATGTTACCCAAAGATGGAAGTCCTCCATCACCCGCAAGAATCTGGTCCCGAATATTATGATGGTTCGGGTGCAAACCAGCAAGAAAAATTGAAACAGAAAATTCCTCACGTTGTCGCTTGAGAACATCAGGATCAGTAGTCAAGGGGTGGTACTGATTTAACTCATCTAACAGGCTTTTGAAATTACTGTAATACTCACCAAGCCCTTGACCAGAGAAGTCAGATTGACGAGAATGAAATATCTTTTCATACAAAGAATATATGTGCGAAACATTTGTGTCCATGGAATAAGTTTCTTTAACTGCATCCCAGATTGCCTTGGCAGTGTTGACAAACATAAAGGTGGATGCAATTGAAGGTTCCATACTGTTCCACAACCAAGACATAACCATATAGTTATCAGTTTCCCATTCCTCATATGTTGATGATGTTTTTGATGGAGGATTAGTAGTAATAAACTTCAGCTTTCGTCGGGCACCTAAAGAAATCTTTACTGCTTGAGCCCATAGTAAGTAATTGGAATTACTTAATTTCATAGATGTAATTTGCAGCCCAACAGGATCAACATATGTTGCAGAAGATTTAACTCCAGAAGACCCAGAGGCAACATTTGAATCTTCCGGCATGGAGATGTGAATATGAAAAGAAAAAGAAAACTTATCTCTGCCAAGTTACCAAAGAGGCTGTTGCACACGAGAAGGCAAGACCAGAGTTTAACCGTGAACAAAAGAAGATTTGGAGCGGAACAGACCCGGCAAGAGAATCGGGCCGGATCCTGGATCGGGTCTAACGGGCCGGATCCTAGATCGGGTCTAACGGGCCGGATCCTGAATCGGGGCTAACGGGCCGGATCCTGAATCGGGTCGAATGGTCCGGATCCTGAATCGGGTCTAGCGGGCCGGATGCTGGCTCGGGTTGAACGGGCCGGACCTTGGATCGGGCCGAAACAAATCCGGTTTATATTAACCTGGATTAGGATAGCGAGCACCTGTAGCCAAACACCATTCGTCTCTTAACTCTCCGGCGAGTACGCAGCGGCAGCGGCAACGACGATGGAATAGGCAAGCAGCGATGCACCTCGCAACAGCCATCGGTGACCAAACAACGACCAGCAACGACGACGACAACCGCCGGTGACCAAGCAGCAAGCAGCGACGGCAAGAGAAGGCGGCGAGTAACAAAACTGGGTTTCAGATCTGAGACCAAACGACGAGAGACGAGCGACGACGATGAGAAACGGCGGCGAGCTCGTCGACACCCAAAAAGGGCAAAAACACCACCGTCGCGAACAGATCTACAGATCTATACCGTCGCGAGCTCTGAACTCTACAGATCTATACAAGAACAATACAATTGCAATTTCCCACACTCACAATTTTGATCCGCTCTGATACCATGTAAAAATGAAGATATGTATATTGTAGAAATACACAGAGAGAGAGAGAGAGAGACCGTAAGAGAGAGCCTCTGAAGTAACTTCTTATATTTTCATTATATAAACCCTAAAACATAAGGAGAGTTTATATACAATACAATACAATAAAGGCCTAATTACATAACAGCCACAAACCGTATATCTAATTACCACAAGACCCCAACCTAAATGCATATATACATATAAGTGTTTCAACAATGTTCACTGCTCATGCTATAACTGTCATGCTCTGACAAAAATGTCCTTTTCTATTGACTAAATTACCTTTTGGGCAAAAACATGTGGGGCGATCCATTTCCAGAGGCCTTAATCTCAAAATTGTTTCTTTAAGCTATGTTACACGGACTTGGGTATGTGTGTCGGGTACAATTATGTATCGTGTGAGACGTGTCAAATCCCAAATAAAAAGACACATGGACACTGCTAAAAGTATTTTTATTTTATTCATTAAAGTATAAAATAATGTTTTATGTAACATAGTGAGCAAAATAGACATTCCGCTCATTTAGAAGTAATAATATAATAATATTGAATATATATTTTTTGGTGCATGTCCAACCAAAAGTGTCGGACACATATCTGAATAATGTGTGTCGGACACATATCTGAATAATGTGTGTCGGAAACGGGTATTTCACCTACTTTGGAATATTCCATTTAACATAGTTTTTAAGTTAATTTTTTCATTTAGTAAGGGCAGTATGTAATTTTATCAGGCTAGTAATTACTTAAGTAACGGGAATTGTTTATAGTTCTTTTTCCCCAGTTCAAATCTGGGAGTTTCCGCCGTAGTTTATGTCTAGCTGAGGGAGCGGTCATATGATCCAGTTCCAGACAGACTTGCATCATTTAATGATGCCATGTGGGAGGGGAGAGAAGGGAAAGTTACACTAACCTCTCCCTCGTTAAGTGAAAATGTGACCCCCCATATGTTTTGTTTAATTGTCCTCCATTAGGGTTTATAATTTGGTAACAGATTCCTCTTCCGTTTGTGGTCAATGTCAATTGAGATGCCATCTAAAGACAGTCTCTGACATGGGGGATGCCACTGTAGTTTTTGAAAACATTGGGGAGCTCACTATATTTCTTAAGCAAGCAAATCTGCCATGACAGGCAATAAAATCACCCAATAACACTGGCCTCAATATTCCTCATTTCTTGAGTTTTTTTTTTTTTGTTTTTGTTTGATACATGTGTTTTGTCCGCAGGTTATCTTTTCGATGGCAGATGAATATGTACCAGATTATGTTGACAAGAAAGCATTGGTTGACAGGCAAGGCCATGAACTATCGTTTAACTTTTGCATGTTATGACAGGAAGTTTATAGTTTGTATGCATTAGGATGTATGCTTTTAGTTGTTTCTGTGAGATTGTGATTTGACCAAAAACTTGGTTTTCTGGTTTCAACTCCAGCAGATTATGTAGAGCAATGGGTGGTGCGGAGAAAGTTGAAATTGAATGGGGAAATCATTCCCTGTCAAACAGAGTTGAAGAAGCTGTCCAGGCCATAATAGACTTTGTTAAACGAGAGGGACCTAGTGGGTGGGATGATCCATGGAGCTAAACACTGCCTCCTTGTATTCTTTCGACCTGAGCTAAGACTGTGCCTCCTTGTATTCTTTCAACCTTATCATGTTCTTCTTTCGCGATTTTTGTTTGTTTCCATTTCTCCATTCAGGTTCTCCTTCCATATTCTCCTTTCAAGTATCTTTTTTATTTATTTTTTTATTTTTTGGCTTGTCCATGTATTATTAGGTTTACACACTCGAGGTATGGAATTTTGTTTGTATGGGTTAATTGTGTAATAGATAAATTTTTGTGTTGTATTGTTAAGAGTAAGGTTCTTGCCTCTTTACTTTACGCCTCCTGCAATGTGTTCTAGTACTTTAAGATGAGTTTTTGTTTCTATGGCCGCCCGTCCCTAACTTGCTGTGTGTTGGGTGGTTTGTGAACCCTCGTCACTTTTTTACCCTAAAAAACACGCCGTTGTACCTAGCATGTAACCCTATCTTCTCTACCCCTCTTCTGGTTGTGTCATTACTAGTTTCTGCCTTCTGGTAACCCCTCTTCTGATTGTACCATTACCAATTGTGGATAACCCTGGTCTGGCCAGTGTGGTTGGTAATTTATTTCTTTCACATATACCACTCTCTGTGTGTATTCGTTTTACAGTAAGATGCAACTTTGTTAATGATGAGTGTTGCTGCAATGCCCTCTCAGTGAGTTTGCCGACGCGTCACCATTGAATCATGTGATTAACGTCCTCGCAGTGATGGAGGGCGATAGCTTTTTAAGGATGCTCTAATCACTGTATTTTCCGTTGATGAGATTATTGGAGTTTCGGTGACCAGGCTTGTTAACATGATCTGAGTTTATGCATTGAAGTAGCCAGGCTTGTTGACAATACCATAGGTTTTACACGTAGAGGTACTGTGCTTTACAGTTCAAAGCATATGCAGTTGTGTTTCATCTTCTTTTAGGGTTTGAATCAAATTCATAAATTTGATTGTTTTCAACGTTGGGCATGATTGGTTAGAATTTATCATGATTGTCGATATAAATGAGATTTTATCTGCTCACCATTACATACCAGAAAGAAAAAGACTCTTTTCTCTCACTATAGCATCCACACACAGTAGAGAGAGATGATGAATTTCAGTGTTTAATGTTTCATCTGGTATGAAGGAAGGAAAGATGCCTAGAAAAGACGTGTGTGAGTACCAACTATAAAAAAAGGAAGCAAAGATGCGGAAGGTTGGAAGGAAGAAATGAACTTCTCTTGGTATGACTCCTTTTCTCTCACTATAGCATCCACACAGAGTTGGAGAGAAGATGAATTTCAGTGTTTAATGCTTTGTTTGGTAACAAGGAAGAGAGGAGGTGTGAAGGGAAGATAGGAAGAAAGAAATAAATTTCTTCCGTTTGGAACAGAAGAGAATAGGAGAAGGGAAAGTCATGTTTCCTAAAAAGTCGTCCTTTTTAACAAATTTGAAGAGAGGAAGGCAGAGAAGTTGACTGTTATAGAAATTTTAAATTACAATATTTTTCTTCATTATTATTAGATTAATCCAAAATCAAGCATTCTCTCTCCTCCTCGCTCCTAAAAAAGAGAGAGGACACTATCCACGGGGGATAGATGATTCATCCCCTTCTTCTCTCTTTATCCAATTTTCTGCCAACGGCAATTAAGCAGGTAGAAATTGTAAGAACAAAGCATTATGTGATGGAAGGATTTTTTTTTTTTTTTTAAAAAAAATTATTGTTGGAGCAGGATTCTCAGCGGTCAAACTTAAAATTATAGTTATGAAATAAATGCATTTATCTCAATTTAACATGTCAAATGGTAACGGTCCGACTAAACTATAACAAATGCATTTATCTCAATTTAACATTTAAAATGGTATCAGTCGAGTAAGGAGCCTAGTATTCTCTCTCATTCAAACTCACAAACACCCTCCGGACCGTGCACTTGTGATTAAGGATTGAGTCTGGCTCTAATACTAATTATAACGGGTAGATACTTCGTGACCCGGTCTAAAAGCTTAAGTTATTACGTGGAGTTGACACCCAATCAATGCATACACATTCACTTTTTCATCTGGATTCCATGTGGGACAAGTTCTCCTTTATTATACCTAGTTATATAATAAAGGATTAAATTCAAGGAGACACTTTCACATTTGCATAATTTCAATCAAACCCCCTAAATGCCAAATAAATAAATAAAATGACCAATCTACCCTTATGTTCGATTGTACATGACAACATGGTTGCGTCCTCGGGTATAGTTTAACCACTCCCATCAACGCCAACCATTCCGGTCTGTTTTGTTCATCAAACTTTCATTGATCAACCAAAAGTTGTGGATACCCCCACCAAGCTGATGATGGGTCAGAATCAGGGGCACTAGAATATATTAAATTTGGTGCAGTTTTGTGCTGGAATTTAAGGGGGAGATGTTTTTCCTTTTGAGACTTGGAAGGAAAGTAAATAAAAAAGCATGAAACTCCAAATGATGAAAGTTAAAGCAACATCATATGCAACCTCATCATGAAGCTTCAACTCATATGATGGGTGCTTTAATTTGGTTTCTTTTGGGAAAATTTAAAAATTCATGTACTTTTGCAGCGCTATTTATTATTTTGTCGAGTGGATATCATGAAGTTTTGAAAAAATAGATTTGACTAAAATGATGATAGTGGATATGCAAAAAAAAAACATTCATATTAAGTTGATATCCAATTACTTTTTTTACCATTTTGTAAAATGACCTAAATCATTGGTGTTTGCACAAATAGTGATACATAAGTGCATAAAAATAGTAGCTACGTGCACAGAATTAGCACCTCAACGAAAACAACTTTTTTTAACAATTATGTTCATTTGTACGAAGGTCATACAAAAGTTACATTACCATGGAACAAGAGCTATAATTAAACAAAGTGATTTAAAAGTTGTTTCATCAAGCTACCAATGCACTAATGTTTTGCACGATATAGGCGCTGCTTTTTGTGCACATAGATGCCACTTTTTATATTTATATTGTGTGTTACTTTTCAGAATAATAAAAATGATAATTTGGACATGAGCTTAAAATGAATGGTGTGTTTTTCCATATCTATACCAACAATTTTGTTAAATACATTTTTTTGGTAACTTTGTGACTTTGACTCGATGAAATAATAAATAGCGCTCCAAAAGTCTATTATGTGTAATTTTTGCTTTCGTCTATTATGTGTAATTTTTGCTTTCTTTTACCCTCTCTCTCCCTATATTTCTTTATATATATACACACACACAGGCAAGTTCCAGGTTATTATATTTGTTCATGAACTTTTGTTACCATACTTTCCTCTTCCAGTGTCCCTTCAAATGTAGAATTTGTGGAGTTTTGGGACCCTACCAATTCCTTAGAAAAGGGACCAACGTTCATGGCATATATATATATACAAAATTTCTCCAACATAACTCTCTGCATCACTTATTTATAATTTTATATTATATTTCTCACAAATTCCGGACTGTATAATCAATGGCTAGCCTCTAAGATGGCCCACAACCTAATCATAACAATCACCAGCTACCATTATAGAACTCAAGAACACCGTAAATTACGGTGTACATTAGACATATATTGTCACAAACTTGATCATGAAACAATCTTTTGTAACACAAGAAGGCATGGGGGAGTTTCAAACCCTAGGGCGATAAAAAAAAAATGCCTGGATTAGGCCTTGTTTCGCTTGTGAGGTGCTTCAATGGATGTCGCGACCACACCCGTGTTTCGGGACTTAGCACGAGGATTTGGAACCTAAGCGACAAGCCGGTGGAGCTGCAGATAAGGGTGGGATCAATATTGAAGAAAGGTCACACATTGAAGCCAGGTTCGTCGAAGAGAGTGAAGTGCAAGAGCATTTACAAGGCTTACATGCCTAGTAGAGGTGGTGGTGGCCGCGGTGGTGGTGGGACTAGTACTAGTAGTAGTGTTGGTGGAGGAATGAGGAGGTTGTTGTATTATTATGATGAGACTTGCCACCCTTATATTTGGATACATGACAGTGTTGGTGATTTCTCAAGGATGGTGAAGCAACAGTATATTAGTCTCGAGGACCTGAGGGATTGTTCCGAGATCAGAATCTTCAGAGACCATCAGAGAGGTTGCATATCGGTTCGCAAGAAACCAAGGCCAGATTTTTGTTGAAAAAATGAACCTTGTTAGTTGCTTCCTTTGTCCCAAAATAAGTGTCCTGTTTTGGGAATCGTGTTCACGGTTTCCAAAACAAGATACTTGTTTTGAGACACGGGAGTATGTATTTGACACAGAATCATGATATATGTTCCATATATTTTGAGTGTTTTGTTGTTGTATTCTATTTTTTATTTTTTTATTTTATTTGAAGATTTGGGGTATATAGTTTTACCGAAATATGAGCTAAAGGATCTTAAGGAATGAAATATAGTGCGACTTTTGGATCTTACTTTGGTTTTCTCCCCTATTATTGGAGAAAGTTTCCACTCTATTAATGAACTGCTCAATTGGTTTGCATTTATCCTTACATTACTATTCTATTATGAGTATAATTATGTTGAGGCTAAGTTGAGAGAATATTAATTCATGTTGCTATTCAGCATTTGTTACAAAAATTGTGCTAAATCTAAAACCGACTAGCTAGATTAGTTATGAGGTCATAATTCAATAAACAAGGGAGAGTCGAGAAATTTGAAGTTAATGATAAAAATGGCACTCGCAGCGTATGTATACCACATTTGGCTAGAGAGGAATTCAAGTGTTTTCAAGGGCAAACCTTTCTCTCAAATTGTTGTCCTGTACAAAATTACCAACTCGATCGGAAGCATATTACAATCTAAGGTTTTGAGGACACGCATGGAGTCTACAATTTGGGAAAGTTTAGTCGAGTCGATCAGCACACTCCTCCTCGTTCACCTTATTGATCAACTCTCAATGTTTGAAACAAGTATGGTAGATGGATGCCTATGATGTGCTTCAGGGACGAAGTCAGAATTTAATGTTAGGGGCATGCACAAAGTAATAATTTACAAGTTATATAATAAAATAATTTAGGTCCAGGGGTGTTTTAGAAATAAAATAAATTTTAGGGGGCGCAAAGTAATATAACTATATGTATCTAAAAAAAATTAATGGCCAACTTGAATCCGGGGCAAGTGCACCCCAGGCCCAAGTTGGCTTTGTCCCTAATGTGTTTCTCATCTCCGCCCCGCTCCATCGTGTACTCGCCCTATTATGTCCTGTTTAGAATAGTTATGAGGGTAGTTAAATAGTTTTAGGGAGTTAGGATTAAAAACCCACATGGTTATGAGGTGGGGATGGGGAAATGTCACCCTACCCCGCCATACTTTTATTTTTATTCAATAATATGAGGTAGGGGTGACAATATTTGACATGACACACTAACATGACACGAGATAAGCAGGTTTGGGTTTGGGCTAATCGTGTTCGTGTCATAATTGTGTCGACACTGATTGACCTGCTAATTAAACGTGTCGTGTTCGTGTTCGACCCTGTAAACACGATTATGATATGATTAACCCGATTAACTAAACGTGTCAGATAAACGTGTCATGTTCATGTCAAAAATGACCCATTTAGTAAAACGTGTAGAATAAATATGTCGTATTCGTGTCAAAAATGACTTAAATGTGTCTTTTTGTGTTGTGTCAAGTCTTGACCAATTTATTAAACAGGTTATGCGTGTCGTGTCGTGTTACACGTATAATAATCGTGTCGTGTTCGTGTTAAGGGTCTTAGACACGATTAATAATCGTGTCGTATTCGTGTCAACCCTAATCGTGTCCGTGTCGTAATCGTGTCAACACGAACACGACACGCCAACACGAATTGCCACCCTATGAGGTATATATTAAACAAACTCTAATTTGTTCTATTTCAATTACTAAATATTTTTTTGTACTATTCTTATTTGAGAACTTCCATGTATTATTTGCTGTCGAGTTCCAATTGAGAAGTTAATTTTTTTTTTGTTTATCCGCAAAAGAGAAAAAAAATTATTATCATAATTAAAAAATGATTTCATTATTTACTTTTATTATATTCGTAATATAGTTATGAAAGTACTCTACAAAATCCGGCTCCGCCCCGCCTCACCCCAACCCTGCCTTGGTCAGTTTAATAAACAATTTTAGGAAAAAGATGAGGGTATCTACACCAAACAAGAATGGTGTTGGGAATGGCGTTACTCGCCCCAAACCGTTCCATTGACCTCCCTAATTACATAGGTGAAAAAAAGGAAAGACTCAAACGGCTACAACTTGAATTGCAGTTGATAAAGGCTTTGGGCCTGTGTTTTGTATCTGATGCTTTGTTGATCCTTCGGCCTTATTTTTTAGTTGTTGACATGGCTTTGGGCTTAACTTCCTAAAAAAGAAAAAAAATTTAAATTTAATTTTAGATTTCTTTACATCGCTTAGAGATTATCCTCCATAAACACAATATAATAAAAACATTGGTTCAAGTAGGTTCAATCTACGCTAATCTAAATCAAGAACAGTTTAAAGGCTCCTAGTCCTAGTAGCTCACCAAGTACAACAAGTTTATTAATGAAAAACTAATTTGAAAAATATTAGTAGGTAATAAATGATTAGATTGGTGGTTTTTATATCTTTCTTGACTAGAAACAAATACGGCTTTAACAATGAGTCACTTTCTCGTCTTGTAAAGTGAGAGAGAAAGATATAAAATAATAATAATAATAATAATTAATATGAAATATTTAAAAATATTCTTACAATAATACTATAAAAATGGGTTGCACATAACTAACATCCAGGTTCAGAATCCATTTAGACCAAGAAGGTTGGGTAGGAAAGTAGATTTAGGTCACCCAACAACATCCTTGGGATAAAATAAATAAAAATAATAATAAATAAATAAAGATCTTGGGATAAGAAATGTGGGGATTAGGGCATTATGGTCAATTGGGTTGACAAACAAATGCAGTAAACTGCAGAGGACAGTAGTGTAATTTAATATTACTTTACAACCCACACAGAGGAATATTAAATGTGTTAATTTACTGTACACCCAATTTTGGAGAAGAAAATCTGACACGGGTTCATTCTGCATCAGCAAGTAATTAATTTTCAAATATTTAAAGGTTTGGAGTTTGTGTACTCTTACTACTGTCACCACTCACAAGCAAGACTCATTTATAAGTCCTCAGACAGTTTCAAGCCAAGCCAAACACACCGTCTAAGCCAAGCCAAAATCTCTAAAACATCTTCTTAAGAAAATATCAAAGAATTATGGATTTATTTATTTAATTTTTTTTAGGGTAAGAATGTTAGAGTAGAACTTAGAAGTGTCAAAACTGAATGTCGGGCTCCAAGGACAACGAGTAGCAACTCGACCATTGGTTATCAAGGCGTTGGCAAAGGAGTATGGATTTGGAGCAATATGAACACGACGATTGAAATTTAAAAAAAAAATTAAAGACATGCTAAAAATAATAATAATGATACAATGCTCCCTCCGTCTTAAAATAAATGTGGATATTTATTTTGGGACCGAGGAGTATATATTATTATATATATATATATAAATAATATATATTTTGTCATTTTATGCATATAATTATGAATAAAATTACTAATTTAGAATTTATACTTAAATATTTGTTATTTTTATTTCCTTACATTTTGTATTATTATTAAAATTAATGTATAATATATTTTAAGTTGTATTAAATCTCATTATTCTAAAATAAATAATTACAAATCATCCGGCCGCATCGTGAAAGTGTTCAAAACATATTCTTCTAGTTTCTATGATATGTCGGAGTAGTGTTTAATTGAAAAAATAAATATTTAATTTCAAGATGCTTCAAACCGCATTTTATATGTGTTCGGATCATATCTGCATATCTAGCAAGTATCTAAATATACAATACTACCGTAGCATTCTAAAAGAACTAAAGAAGGATCCATGCTTCCTACAAAAAAATATCAATCAAATGACTCATTAAGGTCCTGTTTGGTTTCCGTTTTACTTTTGGCCTTTTGTTTTAACCTGAAACAAATTACAGGTGTGATTCTCACTGTATTGACTGCATCTTTTGGCGTAACCGGTTATTCCTTACCTTGGGACCAAATTGGTTATCGGGCCGTAAAAATTGTAACGGGTGTGCCTAAAGCTATTCCTGTAATAAGATATCCTTTGGTAGAATTATTGCGAAGTGTTTTATTGTTGAGTGTTTTGAATAGTAATCGAAAGCATATTTGGTAACGCCCATTTATTACAAAATTTTTAGACGTAAAAATATGAAAACATGTTTGGTAAACAAAATGTTATATTTTTTGAAATATAAGGGTTGACTTAAAAATGTCATTTAAAAGTATTTTTTTTTTTTTTTAAATATTGTTCATTGCTATAATATTTATTGTGTAAGAACATTAAATTGATGTTTCAATATTTGACCATTATTCATGAAACATTTTCATATTATGCAAAACAAATCATTTTTTTATCAAACACGTTTTTTTTCATTATTCAGTGTTATAATAAAAATTTAAAACACTAAAAACAAAACGCGTCCCTAGCAAACATGCCCTAAGTCCACAAACCAGTTTGAAGCCAAGCCAAAATCTCTAAGAAAATACCAATAGAAAAAGGCCAAAATAAAAGAGTGAGGTGTGCTCTCTCCCTCTGTGCCAGCCTGCCCTTTGTTTGGCCTCTCTCCCTCCCCCCCTCTCTCTCTCTCTCTCCAGCTCTGAAACAGAGGAAGCAGAGATACTCACCGCTTCTGAACTACTCTCTCTCTCTCTCTGTCTCTCTCTCTATTACTTAGAGAGACTGAACCTTGCTCTTGGATTTTCTTTGCTCAGTGCCTCAGACCCATTTTTCTCTCTCATTTTTCTGTGTTTTTTGTTTGTAAAATCATTCAAAAGAAATAACAGAGAAACATCCTCTGTTTGAGTTCTTATATGTAATTCATTTCCTCATTTATAGTTTTTTTTTTGGAGTTGTTTCTGTTCTTCTCAGATCTATCAGCTACCAACCTCCTTTCTCTTTTCCTTCATTGGACCTTTCTGACTGTTTTATTTCAGTGGAAGATATGAGTAAAGAAGAGATCTTGAAGATCCAGGTACTCATTTATTTGTTCATATACATACACATAGATGCATGTATACATAATATATAAGTTCCTTCATATATATATATATATACACACAAACACACACTTGATTTACTTGTTTTGGACTCAAAGATAAAGGGTGCTCTTTCTTTTGGATGTTTAATTCTTTCTTTCCTTGACATGTGCAATTATCTTCCTTTGTATGTGGATTCTCTCTTCAGAGGAGTGTTTCTTTTTCTATTTTATTTTTTATTTTTTATTTTTTATTTTCCATTTGAATGTGATTCTTTCTGCACTCAATTTGTGTTCTCTGGTTTTTCTTGTACATGCAGACTTGTGTACTGAAAGTGAACATCCACTGTGATGGGTGTAAGCACAAAGTGAAGAAAATCTTGCAAAAAATTGATGGTATTATTTCATATTCCCCAATTTTTCCAAGACTAGATTTTTTAGATTCATATATGCCCAAAAAAAATTTCATGTCTCTTTATGAATTTTTGTGTCTTTTTGTTCTTCATTTTCCTTTGAAATTGGGGTAATTTACCTAAAATTTTTGGTTGATTTTGTTGGTTTTTTTTAGGGGTTTTTACCACCAACATAGATTCAGAACAGGGCAAAGTTACAGTATCAGGGAATGTAGATCCAACCACACTGATCAAGAAGCTTGCAAAGAGTGGGAAACATGCAGAGCTATGGGGTGTTCCTCCTAAGGCCAACCAAAATTACCAAAAGAACCCTCTCAATCTCAATAGCCAGTTCAAGAACATGCAAATTGACAATGTCAAAGGTGGGAGCAACAACAAGGGTCATAAGGGTCAGCAGCAGCAGCCAAAAGGCGTAGGACAAGGCCAAAACATGCAGCAGCCAATTCAACAACAGATGAAAGGGGGGTTTCAAGGGCTAAAGCTGCCCCAATTTAAGGATCTGAGGATGCCCTTCAAGAAGGACCAGCCCAAGAAGACTGTGAAGTTCAACTTGCCTGAGGATGATGATAGTGATGATGAGTATGATGAATTTGATGATGACGACGACGATGAGGAGTTCGATGACGACGACTTGGATATTGGTGAAATAGATGATGCACCACATCATCCGCTCAACAAGATGAAGCCCAATGTGGGTAATGGTGGAGGGATTCAGATGCCTAATATGATGATGAAGGGTATGATGGGTGGGCAGCATCCACAGCTTATCAATGCGCAAGCCAAAGGCGGTAATAATGGAGGAATTGGTGGAGGGAATCCTAAAAAAGGAGGAGGAGGTGGTGGTGGGAACATACCTATCCAGGTTAATGGCATGGGTGGTAACAATGATGGAAAGAATGGAAATGGTGGAAAGAAAGGCGGTGGTGTGGTGGTTAGTGGAAACAATGGTGGTGGTGGAGCAGCCAAAATTGGTGGCAAGAATGGTGGTGGGCTACCATCAGATTGGAAAAATGCTAACATTGGTGGTGGGGGACACAACAAGATTAATAATAACGATGGAAATGGTGGTGGTGGTGCCAATTATGGCAATTTGAGCAAGAAAGGAGGTGGTATGAATGATGGGATTCATGGTATGCCCCACATGAATAGGGGTGTGAATCCTGGTGGTCATGGGGCTCAAATGAGCAATATGACAATGGGCCAAATGAACCAAATGAATAATGTACCTGTGGGTCAAATGGGCCATGCTCCTGCGGTTCAAGGCCTTCCTGCTTTGGGGATGAATGCCGGTGGCGGCGGTGGTGGCAATGGCGGATACTTTCACGGAGCCGGGCCTGAAGTCATGGCCGGAAACCCTTACTACCAGCAACAGCTGGCTGCCATGATGATGAACCAGCAACGTGCCAATGGGGGCGAGAGGTTTCAACCGATGATGTATGCTCGGCCACCACCAGAAACCAACTATATCCCTCCTTACCAATACCAGTATCCGCCTCCATCGGACTCATACACCCACTATTTTGACGACGAAAACACCTCAAGTTGCAATGTGATGTAAACTTGCAGGAAAATTCCATCGGTTTGCCCGACATTTGCTATGCTTGTGGCAGTGGTAGTGGTGGTGATTGGTGGTTCAGTTATAGTTCAAGAAATTGGGAAGGCTTCATCCATACACGTGGAAAAGGGTAGTTTTTACTTCAGCTACAATTTTCTTTGTTTTTGTCTTAATACTAAGCTTAAATTAGGGTTTTAATTGTCATAGGGAGTGCCAATAGATGACATAGTGAAGATTTTGTGTTGAGTTGGGATAGTTGTGGGACTTCTTGCTGATATGTTTATATATGTTTATCTGTTTGAAAAATAAGATGTAAAGAGAATGGGGTTTAACAAACAAAGCCCATCTCTTCTTCTGTGACTTCTGTCCACCACCCTCCTTGATCTTACCCTTTATTTATATCACAAATTGTCTTCTCTATTTCTTTATTTAAATCAATAGCACATTCTTGAATTGTGCAGTATTATCTTTTCTTTTGTAGTGTGATTGAAATCATGGAGCCTAATGTTATGGGGTCCAACTCATAATATATATATACACACACACACACACACACACAGAAGTATATAATTATGTGTACGCTACACATATAACTTTGTTGTGGTGAACCTAGGGATGCACAAAAAATCGGTTGTAGGTTTGGTTTTTTTTCACGATTCGGTTCGATTGCGGTTCCTCAAATATGGAACTTTTATAAATGGTTCAGTTGTGATTTGAGGTTGTTTTACAAGACCGAATCGAACTGAAACATTTCGGTTCTCAAATATGGAACTTTTATAAACGGGTTATGGTTTGAGGTTGTTCTACATGACCTAACCGAATCGAACCGTTTCGATTCCCAAAATAAAGAACTTTTATAAATGATTCGGTTATAGTTTGAAGTTGTTTTATAAGATTGAATCGAATTGAACCGTTTCGGTTCTCAAAATATGAAATTTTTATAAACGATTCGATTACGATTTGAGGTTGATCTACAAGATCGAATCAAACCGAACGGTTTTATAAATTATATATATATAATTATATATATTTTTTATTCTATAAATAACACAATAATAAAATTAGTCTTCCAACCATTCAACTATATATCATAATATATAGGGTTAATTACAACCACACCCTCTGAGGTTTGCCATATTGACAGCCATATATAACTTAGCCATTTTTTGGACAAAAACACTCCCCTAGGTTTACAAACTTGAACAATGACACCCCAAATATGATGAAATGACCAAATTACATGTTTACCTTTTGACCATGTAAAATGACCAAATTACCCTCATCCAAAATATCATTTCTTCTTCCAATTTTTAGATCTTCCCATTCATTCTGTGAGCCCTTCTTCCCCGCCGTCCATCAAGCCGCCATGAGCCCATCACCGTCCCGTCGTCGCCCTCATCCGAGCCATCCACAGCCGCAGTCCATCAAGCTGCCATAGGCCCACAGCCGAGTCCATCACCGTCCCGCCGTTGTGTACACACAAATTTTGTAAGTCTGCAATAGAAACAAAATATGGAGCAAAATAGAATTTTATTAATTTATGAATGTGGAGTACAGTCCTTTGTAATATCTTTTACAAAAAAAAGAATGGTCCTCTGATTCGATCTCCTTGTTTTTGGTTGGTTGGATCCAAGGGCTGCACGAGCTTGTTCTTGAATCACTGTGGAATTTGATGAAGAACGGCACGTTGTTGGATGTGCTTGATGTTCTTCGCTTTTGGGTTTCGATTCTGAATTTGTGTCTGAATTCTGAGTCTCTGAACTTTTGAATTCTGAATTTGTGTCTGAATTTATAGACTTCTGAATTCTGAATCCTCTCCCCTTTTTTTCTTCCTCCAAGCCTCTATTTATAGGCTTCTTGGATTAATAGGATGATGACACGTGTCATCTCCTGATAAGGATAAAACTATAACTGGGCCGGGCTGGTTATATTGTGATAATTATCTTTAAAGACAATTATTCAAAATATATTTTATTAGGAATAATTATCGTTTCATTTAATTATCTGGGCTGGGCTAATTAAATAATTTAAGTGGACCAAGCCTGGTAAATTAAATAATTTATTTAAACATTAGGCCTATATTTAATGGGTCCATTCGTTAAAACCAAAGCCCACTAAATTTTAGTATCTACAAATTGACCCCACTTCAAGTCCCAATTTTGACAAGACTTGTCTCTTTTTCCAAGTGGGACTTGAAGTTTCTTTTTTTTTTTTTTTTTTTTTCCATCTTAATTGTACTTTCCTATTTAAATTGAATTGTCCAAATCCCAATACAACTTGGAGGTATCTTGTTGCCTATATATACCCTCAATATTGTAGGGTTTGATATCAATTCCAAAAATCTCTGAAGACTTGTCAGATCACAAATAATTGGTACGTGTGTTTCTTCTTCTTCTTCTTCTTCTTTTTTTTTTTTTTTTTTTTTTTTTTTTTTTTTTCTCTCTCTCTCTTTCTCCACGCATGTAGGAGAACAATTTTTTTATTTTTTATTATTTTTTATTATTATTATTTTTTCACTCCACGCACGCTGGAGAACATTTTTTTTTTTTCTAACCTCTTTTTTTTTTTCTTTGCAGGGCTTGATTGGGTATAACAACTTGATTTGTGTCAACCGTAGCAGAAATTGAATCCTCCTTCTAGATAACACAGATTTGAGCTTTGGTATCCATCATGGTGGTGTTCAAGTGTTTCGCAAAGCAAAAGCTGACTATCTTAGAGAGCAAAAATAGTCAACGAGTCCAAGGAATGACATTAAGTGTATATGACCCACTTTTTGGTCGCAATGCTATTCAAGTGCCTGATTCTAACAATAAACATTGTTCATCTCATTGGACATGCACGGCCACATGCGAACTCACTGACTTTGGTCCTGATCAGATTAATGAAGAATCTATTGTCTTTAAAGCCTTGATACTAAATTCTTCACTTCATGAGAGAGTTGCTGAAGAAAACCAGTTTTCACTATTGGGTCTTAATGTTCAGGCGAAGGAAATATCATGGAGTATTCCCTATAAACTTCCTGCTGAATTGCTATACACCGAACTATATTGGGAGTGGCTAGAAGATGTCTTGGCGCGATTCCACGACTTTCTATCAAAACAACAACTATATGGTGCTTTATTCGCCTCCCTATTTTCCTATGATCGTCATGAAGATGTATTCAAAGCATTCCTTGAATGTTAGTGCCCAGCCACTAATACACTTCATTGTTCTATTGGCGAGCTATCAATTTCTCTTCGAGATCTATATATGCTAGGTGGTCTCCCTCACCAAGGAACAATTTATGATGAAGTTATTCCTTGTGCAGATGAACTATCAAGAGCTGGCAACAACAAAAATTCTATCCCTTTGAGTTGTCAACACCTATTTTTGGCCTTCCACAGACTTTCCAAGAAGTATAAAGGAGATCAGAATGTGAAGATATCTGACTGGATTAATTTCTGATTTAAAGGTGCATCAAGACATGCCAAACCTTCAAAGAAATTAACAAAAAATAAAGTTCACCGCCCTATGAGGACTCAAAATCCGTCTGGTGTGATCCCTCCTGTCCGGTCGATGTCCACCAAAGAGAAAGAAGTATTTATCAACCTTGGTGTAGATGAAACATCGAGAGACACCACTTATCTAGCTGCTTTTTTAGCATGTTGGCTCTGCAAATTTGCCTTACCTGCACACCCTGGCAACATAATTCGTCCTGGGACTTTCAAGGTCGCAAGCATGTTAGCAGATGGCTGCAACATTTGTCTTTCCATCCCGGTTCTGGCCAGTATTTACAGAGGCTTGAACGAGATTGTTTCCTCACCAGATCCTGGAAGCTGCTGTGCGATATTTCCTATTCACTATGTATTCGGATGGTTGAGTAAATATTTCAGAACTAATTTCACCATTCCTAATACCAACTATTGGCCTAGAATGACATTATATGCAGGCGAAGGAGGAGCAAGATACTTTGACCATTTTGAAGCCCAAAATTTATTCAGATCATGTAAAGGAATAAACTTAACTCGAATGGCTAAAAGATCTTCAAAAGAGTGACTTATTGTAGATAATGGCGAGATGATAAAGGCTGACTTTGACACCCTAATCAATTTTCGATCATGTTATTTGACATTGCGCCAAAATGACCGTCTTATCATTGAGCCGTATAGTCCACACAGATTTAGCCGACAATTTGGGTATCATCAAGATATTCCTGGAAAATTAAAAAATGACTTTCGTACTTGCACCTTAAAGGAATTTTTAAAGCATTGGAACTCATCCGTTCATTATTCTTCTGGTTGTGATGTGTTGTTTCCTTCAACCTTAAGCCACCAAAAATCCTCAGTTACCAGAGCATATGCCAAATGGTGGTCCAGCGTATATATTGATCCATTTACACAGAAAGAAACTACCTCAAAGCAATCTAAACGCACGATTTCCCCACCAGAGAAACCAACTAAAATCAGGAAGGTTTTAATTAAGGGGTTGAAGTCAAATCTCCCATCTAAGCCAGTGCCAAAGTTAACCATCAAATCTCATAATGATTGTGACGTTGTTGGAGGATCTAGTAGCCATCACCAAACAGCAGAAGATGTCCCACCACTAATCAATAACCGTCGCCGTCGTCAGTTGTCAATGGAGTTAGATGACGATGTGAAAGCTTATGATGAGGATCGTAACTGGAAGCATGTCACCGACAAAGTGAGACTTGATTCAGTACAGGAATGTGTTGCCACTTCTCTTGATCAATTTTTTACTGGGGTACCTAGCAGTTCACAACCTATACAGGTAACTGTTATTTTATATATATATATATATATATATATATATATATATTTTGTTTTTTGTACTGCAAATTATCATTATTTATTATTATTTGTTTAATAGATAAAAGACAGTATGGGATTTCTTGGGGAAGATGTCGTCATTGTTGCTAACCCAACATGTAGTGAAGAATCTATTTATGGACCGTCTGCCTTAGAGTTGGCCACTGCGATAGGAAAAGGTACAGAGATTTCACTACAAAGAAGCAGAGTTAGTCAACACTCGGATGTTTTGGGGGTTGCTGAAGTGACTAGTCAAACTATGGAGGTGGTTGAAAATATTGGTAAAGATCATGTAGTTATCCCTTTTTTGATTTTAAGAGAACAGGGTCCACCCTTGCATCGTGTTGCCCCTTCTGAAATGTCAATTTTCAATGCGGAAGAGATCGTTCTTGATGTTCATCGTCGTGCTGCTTTATTCTTTATTGATTTCATAAAGAATATCATACGCGACACTCCTACCGATAAAATACCGTCTCGAGCACCTAAACTTCAAACACTTTATGAATGACTCACAAAACTCCCTGGAGACCATTCAGCTTTGAAGAGGCGAATTGACTCATATACCAATAATGCGGCCAATTATATTGCTACATCTTCTTCATATGAGAATTTTTTTTTTTTTTTTGCAATCACAGTTTTAACTCATGTAGGCCAGGAGCAT